ACTTAGTTTCACATTCCTGCAACATTGGCTGACGCAGTGGAGTCCTCTTGGTGTTTGTTCCTCCCTGCAGACAAAAGGTTCTCAGGTGTCCCCGTCCTCTGCACTTGAAACAGAAAGGATTTGTCTTGGTTGATATGAAAATGTTAATCCTCTGGCCACTTTTTCTGAATATCCACTGTCCCGGAAACTTCGGTGGCGCCCCTGATTTGACCTCCAAACATGCTACGCGTGAGTCGTGGTTCGGTGCGAGGAAGTCCGGATATGCGAGGAGCCAGTCAATAATAGGATTATTGGGAAATTCCTCCACTAGCCTCTTTTGCACAAAACTGTGCATTCCCTCAGACAAATTATCAAATTGCACCCAGAAGTGATTTCTCATCATAGACTGTTTGTGCCTTGACGCCTCCGCCTGCGGAGGGCGTGGTGGTTTCCATGGCTGAATGGTCACGACAGCACCCTTACATTTCAGTGAGCCAATAGATAAGAGGTATTACGCGTACGTTGGCTCCACATAGACTATCATGACCGAGAATCTACCCCTCTTGTGATAGGAGATGTCCGGTTCACCTCCTGGGATGTTTTCCATAGCCCTGAGCCTGTCCATCACCCATCTTCGCTTCTCATTGAGTGAGAGCTCCCTACTTCGTCCTGAGAAGTTAAATAATACCGCATGCTTCTCATACAATTCATTTAGTGTTTGAATATCCTCCTCCGGATATTCCCACACTTCCACCTCCTCTTCCTTCCCCCCCTCGCCCTTGATTACCTCCTTTGTCACTTTGATTTCCGCTGTAATTTTTGTTTTTTCCATCAGAAATTCCATTGCTTTCTGTCCCAGTGTGCGCGGTTTAGAATTCCCTGCATTGATGTTTGTCCCCGTCCCTGAAGCAGATTGAGATGGTTGATTTCCATTTGGTGCCTCCTGCAATTGGCTGAATTCCCTTTTCTCTCTTTCGCTCATGGCCTGCTGGGCTACTGCCGCATAGGAGATAGCCATTGCTGGTCCTTTGTCCCTCTTCGTTTCCCTGCTGTCCCCCTTCCCTATCTTCCACTCCTACTTTCTTTCCTTTTTTGACCACGCTGATGTGTGTTGTGGTGACTCGATTTCTCCTTCGTACCCCAGGTAATGCACTTTCCCTGGTGAGAGCGAGTGTGAGCAGCTGACGTAACGAGTTGCGAGGAACGTAGACCCCAAACCCACTTGCTTTTGACTTTGGGCCGTGGTAACTCGATTTCTCCTTCGTACCCCAGGTAATGTGCTTTCCCTTGTGAGTGTGAGTGTGAGCATCTGATGTGGCGGGTTACGAGGGATGTCGACCCCAAACCCACTTGCTTTTGACTTTGGCAGCGACTGACATGGCACCTTATGAGATAAGCATCTTGTGAAGCGCTCGAGCGATTGCGCTCTTGATTTTGGCGCTGGTCAGCGTGAGCAGCCGACGTGGCAACTTATGAAGCGGCTGACCCCGAACAGTCTTGCTTTTGACTTTGACCCTGATTCGCTTAAACAAATGATGTGGTGAGTTATACTATCCTATTGAGCGGACGATTGGTGACGTTCCCGTGTCCCCTTGTTTTTGCCATTGGTCAGTGTGATCAGCTGACGTGGTGCCCTACGGAGCGGCTATCCTTTGACGTGGTCGAGTGATGTCGACTCCAATCTGTCCTGCTTCAGTCTTTGTCACCCCAATGTCAACCCAATTTTTCTAACTTTTTGACTTTGTCTCCTACTCGCTCTAATCCCCCTAACTGTCCCACAACATCAACTATTGTGCCCACGTGTCTCTTTCAACCTTACCCCACCCTTTTCTGGGAAGAAAGTGGGATACTTACCTTAGTCTTCACTATCCGTAGCCCTTCGTCCCTGTATCCTTCGACCCTTAGACGATGTGGCCCGCTTCACCCTAGGGCAAGTCGACTTGCCCCTCGCTCTCCTCAATCGTGCCGATCACCCTCTCTTAGTCGTCGATGACATGTCACTCTCCTCCTTTTGTCCAGCCAGTTTCGACGCGTTTCCCTCGGAGGCCTTACTCCGACGTGGCCACCTCCTACCTCTAAGACGCTCTCCCCATATCCGTCCTGCTTTTGCCCTTGCCGCTTTTTTTTTTTTTTTTTTTTCCCGTACTCCTCACCGATCATGCCGATCACCCTCTCTTAGTCGTCGATGACATGTCACTCTCCTCCTTTTGTTCAGCCAGCTTCGACGTGCTTCCCTCGGAGGCCTTACTCTGATGTGGCCACCTCTAAGACTTTCTTGAAGTTTCTTCCCATATCCAAACCCCCAATGAACCTCCAATCAACCTCCAATCAACCCCCAATCAACGCTTAATCAACGCTCAATCAGCACTCAATCAACATCCAATCAACACCCAGTCGACCCTCAATCGACCCCCAATCAACACTCAGTCAACGCTCAACCAACACTCAATCAACACTTAATCAACACCCTATCATCTTCCATCCCACCCCCAGCCCACCCCCAATCCACCCCCAATCAACACCCGCTCAGCACCCATTCCACTCCCAGCCCAACAAACCATCGTATGTTGTCCAGCCTCATTGCTATCAATCTAGAAGCCTATCCTCGGTTGGAAAACCTTTCCTTGTGTTCCATTCTGTTCTGTTTGTTTTGCTTTATCCCCTTATCTTTGTACATCGAAAACTTTTTTTTTTTTTTTTTTTTCAACTTGATTGTCTCAATATTTTAAGAGGGGAGGATTCAGAGGATTGATGTAGATGTAGATGTAGATGTAGATGTAGATGTAACTGTAGATGTAGCTGTAGCTGTAGCTGTAGATGTAGATGCAGATGTAGATGAAGATGCAGATGTGGATGATGAGATGGAAAAAGAAGGTCAAACACACGGAATGTTGACACGTGTACTTTATTACACAGATAAAACTTGCGAAGCATAGGCAGGTATGGAGTCCCCGACGCGGCGTTTTGACGGTTGACAACCGTCTTCCTCAGGGGGGTTACCACCGCTTCATCCCCAAACTTTGACCATCCCTCCCAAGCTAACCCACTTCCGAGCGTGCTTCCTGAGTCATCAGGATAGCATACGCATAAGACCTGCTAGAGGGAAAACTAATGGTCCACTTGAAAGGATTCACGCTGCAGACACCCAGTCCCGGTCCCAGGGTCCTGACAAGTTCCAAGTCCCAGGGCTGTCCCGTAGGGTAGACTGTAGGGTCTAGAGGCCGAAGTGTCGTAGGTCGGTAGGTGTCGATACCGAAGTGTCGTAGGTCGGTAGGAGTCCGTCTGGTACCCAACACGAAAAATCCAGAAGCGTCCAGTCCAGTCCGACAGTCCCAAGTCCAATTTTGCAGCATGTCCCAGGAAAGTCCGGAAGATACCGGACCGACAAAATGTTTGCAGCAGACAGGCCACGGCCGACCGGTGCCGGTCTGAAGCAGGCCAAGCCGAGCCAAGCCAAGCGAAGCCAAGTCCTATATTTAGCTGCTACAGTGCAGCGGCTCATGCGGAAGCGCTGCTGCTGCTTGTGCGGTAAGGCAACTTGGGCACTGCACACCCGAAGAAGAAGAGGGTGGTCGCAAGTTACTCCATAGCTGTGTTAAGGGTAGAGCAGGAGGACGGCGGCCATAGCCGCCAAGGTGTAAGCAGTCCTGAGTGGGTGTATCCAGGGTGACGGTCTAGGTTAGGGAGAGCGGGAGTGAGTGCGAGCCAAGTCAGAGAGAGAACAAGGTGAAGTTGGAGAG